CAATAGATCAAAAATACCATAAAAGAGAGCCTACTAATCCTGTTGACATCTTTTCTTTCGATATCACCACCACTTCTGAGTGGTTCAGAAGAATTCACATGATTGAATTTCATTGTCCATCTTCATGTGGAGGTCACTTATCAAGATAACTAGGGCTGTTTCAGTCTCAGAACTAGACTGAAACCAAGAACACAATTGAACTACATCTATATTTTTAAACATCTCTAATATTTAATCTTCATTTTAAGTGTCAGATGACTGTAAAATAATGGGAATTAACATTTCTTCACTAAAATTTTAGAAGAGCAAAGTTGCCATTACTTGCTTCCTCAGTACTGGAAGGATGCTACATTTCTGATTCTTCTGCTTATTTAATATCCTTAATTTGCCCTTTTTAAACATTTTTCCTTCCTTAAAACACAATTTAAACATGCATCATGCTATATATTAGGGAATTCTGAGAAGTAGCCAAAGTTTTGATGCTCGTTTGGATGGCATTGTTAACTATTAATATGATAGTATGGACATGGAAGATAAAAATAACACTTCACATAAACACTGCAAAGAAATGGTAGCTGTAATCAAAGGCACAGTACCTCCTTTTCAGCTTGCAAACTAGGGCTCCAATTATGTACACTGTTTTGAAGCTGAATGGAGCTGCTTTGCCACACTTTCCAAATTGAGAGAGGACAGGCAAGAACAATATCCTTTAAGGCACTGTTCCAAATAACAATTAAGGAGTGAAATCAGATAAAAGACCCAACATGAAGATTTATGGAGCTGAAAACATACTTTTTAAAATGGCATTGTGGCTATTGTCACTATAACAATAGTGGGGGTTTTATTTGCATTCATCTTCCCACCCACCTCATGGAGTTAGAATCCTTTATTGCTTTGCATTTGAATTAATACCTGTCTTTCTTTGTTGCCCTGTGCAAAGATATTTGTTGAACAAGACAGCATGCAAATCATTCTCAATGCCCAAAGTGGTCATTATTATTCTAATAACAGGGCTCCTTTCCCTAAATATGGGTAAAGGTTAGCCTTCACAAAAACTTGCATTATTTTTCTGCTTTTTTCTTAGACACTAGACCAGCAAGAGAACCAAACTCAACTTTTGGGGTGATGTAACATTTTCAGTATGAAGTTTCCATATTGTATCTATGATATTTGAATAGCATGGAGTACTATACATTTCTGTGAAAGGTTCTAACATAATAGAATTACAGTTTCCACAAAATTAGTCTATGAACACCAATCAGTGTTGATGTTGTGGGTCCATAGGAAAGAGAAAAATGTTATCCTCGGAAAGGACTCTAAGTGCTTTCTCTCCTTTATGAAAGCCTGCATGACAAGTGACTCTCATGTGGTCTAGAAATGGTCCTTTATTTTGTAAGATTTGAGGTATGTCTTGCCAAATTCAACTTTATCTTTACCAATTGTGCATTCTCCTGTCAGTCCTGTAATACAAGGTTTATTAAAACATCTGAATAGGAGCCCCATTCCTCTAAACGTTTGTTCTGTCGCTAGTAGACATAATCCTAGCTACCACTTATGTACCTCTTCCATAGAATGAGAAATGTTTTACCTATGTAGTAAAATAAAATTGCTCTAATTATTGAACATTAACTTAATGGCTTTATAAAACTGATCTTATTAAAATCTGTTCCAGAGCAAATATATTGCATGGTAAGGGTGATGACCCATCATGTGGTTAGACTTTAAACCTATGCTCATTTACCTGAGAATCAATCTAATGAGTACATAAAGATTTACTTTTGAGTGCCCATTTATCATACTGTTACCAAATAATAATATTCCAGGTTAAAAGAGTAGTCACCAAATGGTGTGATTCTCTGGGGAAAAAATAATAATTTCAATTTCAATGGGTAAATTGAAATTCAATGTTTTTCCAGTGAGCAAAACATTCTAAATGACAAGTTCCATTAGATCTTACTGGAGTAGAAAAAGCTAAATAGATTTATGCTTAAAAAACACGTATTAGGAAAAGAGGATTAAGTAATGCAGCTCAGATGTGGGATTTCCTATTTAACTGCTAATGTTAATTTATCTCCCACTTTTCCAAAAATCAACATCACTGAGATATATAAAATCTACCCATTTTCCCTAAGAACTGATGAGTCTATTATGCATAGATGTGTCTTGTCGCATGCAAGAGAGTAGAAGATACATTTGCCCTTGCAATCTCTCACAATTATCATCTTCCATTTGAGTTTTGCCTTCGAGCCTTTTAAGGAACAGACATCACAAATCAGAAGCAGAGTAGCTGTAGCATCGTTTAATTCAAAAGGCAAGAGGAGATGGAACTCCATCAAATAAGGACTAATGGGAACAGAGAGGAAGATGATAATTGAGGTCTCTGTTGACTAGGTAATGAAGTCTGCTGGAAGGACCCAATTGTCCTTGGAAGAATTGAATGTCAGGATCATTTAGGGTTAACAACAGTCCAATACAAGCAAAAGCAGACAACTATGAAAAATAGCTGGCATGATAGCCATTTTGTATAGATCAGGGATACAAACTTGATAATGAGGCCCTGCATTCACCACATCCTTCTGCTCTAATTACTAAGGTGAATGAGGAATACTTAATCTGGGCAGAAGAGTATAAAGCAAGAAACCCCCCGCCACAGTCCTCTATTTTGTGAACTCAAATACAGTATCCTTTAAAGGAACCTTTTCTAGCATGTATAGAAGTGTTGTTACTGTAACTTCCAATAGTAAATACCATTTATTCAAGTTCTGCAAAAAAAAAAAAAAAGCTGTTTGTTGTACGAAAGGAACTGTTCACCAAGCAATGGCTTTTGAATGTGCAAAACAAATTCTCAAATGCTAGTCTTTATATGTCTTGTTAAAATGAATTTGCTTTTGCTACTGACAAATAATACAGTATGTGTCAAAAAATTATTTAAAAATCAATATTGTGTTGACAGAAGAATAAAATGTATAGATTAGGGCATAATATTGACCAAACCTGTGTTTGAAATGATGGTGGCTGTAGGATCTTTCTGCATTGCATTGACATGCTACAAGTTCCACATCTTTGTATACATATGACATCTCAACACATGTAGAAAAGAGCAGAACTTGCAATGCAACACTGCAACACTGCTTTTGTCAGTCTGGCCCCCTTTGCCCCTCTCCTGGCTGCTGCTGGTCTGAAATATATTGCTATCATTTGAGAGATAAAGCTCCAAAGAAAAATAGTAGTTAGTTGCTGAAATAATTCAGAGTTCAGCTGGCTCATTTATAGGAACTTTAAGAAAATAATTTAGGAATGTGCCATGTTAACTGGGTTTCTTTGGTTTCAGTTATAAAAGTATACAATTAGACATAAATTTAGTTTATCCAGAAAGAAGCGGGGAACAGTAGCTCTTTATTGAATGCTATCATAGACGAGTGCAATAAGGAAAATG